AGAAAGAAAGAAAGAAAGAAAGAAAGAAAGAAAGAAAGAAAGAAAGATGCATTTCTGGAACTGGTCTCAAAGCAAAATGGATGCAACTTCTTCAGACTCCCACCAGAGCGTCTGCTTAAAAAGGACACGCTGCCCGTGCTTCTAAGGCACAGGAAGATGCTTAGCACTCCACCCTAACCCCTACCGCCCACACACCCATGCCACACACAGTGAAAAACTCTTTCCCCGCTGGGCACATCTACATCTGCACAGCTCCCGCACATTGTGAAAGAGGGGCCACAAAGACTGTAAGAGCCAGAATAGCAGGAAGTCTGCGTGAACCAATCTGTCCTGCATGAATGAAACTGGAACAATGGTAGCAACCGTGGACACACTAATGCAGAAGGGGGAAACTTTCACAAGGTCCCACCCTTAGGCAAAGGCTGTTACAGGCTACTGGGAGAGGGAGAGTTAGACTCTCCCCGGCATCAGTCCTTTAGTGATTGTTCAATACAAGTGTGGTCAGTCCTGAGACCATATACACACAAGCAACAAAAATAAACTCAGGAGGCCATGTTTGTATATTTGTGAAACACATACACACAGGAAACAATAATAATCAAAGAAGAAGAGGCTATCAATTTGAGAGTGGGGAAGGATGGGTGGGGTTGGAGAGAAGAAGGGAAGGGAATCATGATATAACTCTATTTTGTTTAAAAATGTAAAAAAAATGTTGATCAAAAAATATTATCACCAACATAACTGGTGAAAACATTTAGATATTTGAGATTCAGAAAAAAAAAAACATGTTGAAATCTAAAAATTTTTTAAAGAAAAAGTTATCATTTAAAGAAAAGGGGAAAGTTAACCAGTTTGGACTCCCATCAAATAAAAAATATGTAGATTAAAAGACAAATAGCAAAAAGAAACAACAAGAACAACAGAACAAAAAACATGTACCACAGCACCACATATTTAAAAGCCTGGGTGTTAATATTCCTGAGCCGGAGACAGGGTAATTGGTAACTTTGTTAAAGAAATAGGTGTGTAATTCACCACGGAGGAAATGCTAATGGCCCAGCCTTTCTTACGGAAACAGATGCCACAGACAGAGGCAGCGACACTAAAATTTTCGGGCTCCACTTAATGAAACTGCTGGACAAGCCCTGTGCTCCAGGGGCTCCGAATGCAGAAGAGACTAAAAACCTGTTGTCCAGACTGATCTTATTTTAAGAAAATAGTTCTGAATGTTTACAGCTACACAGTTTGTGAAGTAATTCCTCAAAACTGAGAAACACACAAGACTCTCCAGAGTGTTTTTTCTTTTTTTTTTTAAAGAGTTAGAGTACAGGAATGAACAAAATGAAGCTCTGTTTCTTACTGTGTCTCTCTGTTGCCAAAACCAATGCAGGTTGGTAATGATATATATGAGAATGTCAGTGGTACACAGTAAAATTTTTAAGTTGCACAATTGCACAATTATATGTAAGTGGTAAAAAATTTAGTCAAAGCAAAAGAACTGAAAATGACAAGTATAAATGACAAACCACAACTCAGCAAGGAATAACTTCACTGTCCAAAGCCAGGGCTCTCCTCATGTGCTAAAGAAGATAGAACATACCTTAGAAAGTGGCTTCCCCTGCTGGCAGTTGATCCCGCCAACATAGACCATGTTGGGCATCACAGGTCTGGGAAAGTCCAGCACAAAGTCAATGCGAAGCAACCAAATGGACACTGAGCTGAAGAGGTCTGTCATAGTCACTGGGGTCTGGAGAACTTCAGAGGCAATGTCTGTAGCAGTTTTGAAGAAATAGGGGCAAAATGCATACTCCTGCATGTAGGAGAGATAGTTCCACACTCTCTCCTTGAAAGTCATGGTGTCTGTGAATTTTAAGAGAAATCTTGGAACATAAGAAGGGGGACTGGGGCATTGGGCACCGTCTTCAAGGTAGTAGCAAAATATATTTCTTGCAAAGACCACAGATGGTAGTGAAAAGTACTTGGCAACAGTTAAGCCACACACATCGAAAGGATCCAGAAACACAGCATCAAAAGCACTCTGCTTCAAGTACTCCACTAACTCCTTGTTGTTAAACAAACTCCTACAGTGTGAATACAATAAGTCAAAGAAACCTTTGGCTGGATTTTTTAGGAGGGAATATACTTTTTCTTCTTGTTTTTTCCATTGAGAATCAATAAAAAACTTGAACTCGTGATTTAAGTCCTCCAAAGTATAAGAAAGTGAATATGTCTTCACTGTAAAATTCAGTGATTGTCCCAGTTGCCAGCTCACCTCTGGTTTGACTACCACCACCTCATGCCCTCTGCTGATGAGTTTCTCCACAACCATCTGCATGGTGAACCAGTGGCTCCCGTCCATGGGCACGACCAAGAGCCTGCCTGCCTGGGCAAAGCCAGAGGCCAACAGCAGACACACACACAGGGGAAGGGCAGGAGCCATGGGGGAAGCTCAGCCCAGGGCAATCCAGCTGCTGAGAATCTGAGCTCTTAGAACACAGGAAGTGTGAGTGAGAGAGAAGCCTGCCTGCTCAGGAGGGTGTGTACTTACACAACAATTCCGGAAAATAAATGATTTACTCCGGAGAACAGTAATAATATGAGCAAACATTGTTAAGGGACGTACTCGATTGTTTTCCAGATAAGAAGGGCTTGTGATTTTTTTCTTGGGCAGAACCACGCAATGTGAGTTTAGAAGTAGTTATTAAGAAATATAGTTGACCCTAAGGAGTCCAAAGGTGTTTGTTTGTTTGTTTGTTTGTTTGTTTGTTTGTTTGTTTTTAAATGAAGCAAGTTTCAAAGAATCTTACATTTCCAGAATTGGTCTCAAAGCAAAATCTAGACACTTTCTTTCGGCCACTAGACTGCGTCTCAAAGGGATTTTCTGCCTTTGCTTCCCAAGCCTAAGGGGAGAGGGTCCTGAGCCTGACCCCGTGGCAGACAGTGAAAGAACTCTGACCCATGAGTGATACCGCTGCTCTTGGTGCACGTGCAGTAAGATTCTTGTTCCACTTCCAAACATTATGTGTCCTCTGAATTGCCGACACAAGCTTGGCAAACATTCGCACAGAGCACGCCAGGGACTTAAGAAAGGGTGATTGTCATCCCCATTACATCCCTCCTGATGGGTTTGATGCCATAGACAGTCAGTCACATAGTCTCTGGAGCAGCAGAGAGTTCTGCTGTGATTCCACTCAGTTGCCCAGGGACCTTCCCCACACATCTACAGCTTTGTCTCCGGTGTCATTCCTGCGTCTGTGGGGCTGTTTCCACCTTGTGGCTACTGTCAACAGTGCTGCCACCAACATGACATACAGGCTCTTAGCAACTGATTTCAAGTCCTTCACCTAAGATTAACGCTGCTAACTCATAAGGAAATGCTAGCATTCACTGTTGAGAAACCACCAGACAGCTCTACACGGGGCTGTATCACTTTAATTTCCCACCAGGCCTGCATTGTTACTGTCTAGTCTCCATGGTAGTGTGGATGGTACCTTGTAGTTTCTGCTTGCATTTTTGTAACCACTCCCATATCCTGCCTGATCTTGCCAGGACAAGAAAGCAACAATTTTGAATGTCCTAACACTGGAGTCTCTAATTTTCAGAAACAACATTATCTCAGTTTCCTATGAATTGGTTGAAAATCTCTCACTCACCAAATATACCCAGTAGGCCAAAAAAAAAAAAAAAAAAAAAAACCTAACCTATTATAAAGCCTTTTACTTTCTGCACAGCATCTCTAGAAGTTTGTTGAGCTATTATAGACTGTGGGTCTGGTAATTTTGGTATGTGATGTTTCTATTTATTTGCGAGGGTTTTTGTCTGTGTTTTTGTTTGTTTTGTTTTGGAGACAGGGTTTCTCTGTGTAGCCCTGGCTGTCCTGGAACTCTCTCTGTAGAACAGGCTAGCCTTGAACCCATAAAGATCTGCCTGCCTCTGCCTCCAGAGTTCTGGGATTAAAAGCGAGCGCCACCTCTGTCTGTAGTATTTGCAAGTATTTTTAAGTAATAAAGTTGATTTAAATTTTTTAAAGTCAGGTGTATCGCAGGTTACTCTCTGCGTACTGTGCACGTGTGCTTTGTCTCCATGTATGCAGTGTAAGAACGCTGCGGGTTTGGAGTCACTGTGTAAGCTGCTATGTGCTTGTTGAGAATTAAACCTGGCTCTTCTGAAAATCAGGTGATAGTCTCAACCACCAAGTCATACCTCCAGCCCCATAAGTTTTAAATGATCATGAGGGTGAGGAAAGTTTGTTATTCTTTCAATTATTTTAATATTAAATACATTTTAAGTTCTGATAAGAGTTTGAAGACTATATTGTTTAATGAATGCATGTTATTTACTTGATAAAGTGCTATATACATTTTACACAAATAAATTCAAGCGTGCATCTGTATATTTTATCCTATTATTCTTTGAAATATAAACAAAGTCTTTTGAAATGCTGAGTGAGCCAGAATGCAAATACTCAGGCCAACTGTTATAAAACATATACAGAGAAAGAAATGGAGTGTTCAACCTGAACTCACTTGAATTCTAAATTAAACAGCTCAGAGCAGCAGCACATTCCAAAGTTTTAAGGGATGTCTTAGTTAGGGTTTCTGTTGCTAAGATTAAAAAAAAAAAAAAATGACCAAAAGAAACTTGGAAAGGAAAGAATTTATTTCAGCTTTCCATTCTCAGGTCATACTACCTCTCTGTGGGAAGGCAGGGCAGAAACTCCAGGGTAAGAACCTGGAGGCAGGAGCTGATGCAGAGGCCATGGATGAACGCATGGATGATGGCTTGCTCAGCTCCTTTCTTACACAACCCAGAACCACCTGTCCAGAATTGGCTCTGCCTCTCATGGCCTTTACACTCCCAGATCAAGCATTAGTTAAGAAAATACTGTAATCCCAGCACTTGGGGAAGCCAAGGCAGGCAGGTCCCTGTGAGTTCAAGGCCAGCCTGGTCTACAAAGTGAGTCCAAGATAGCCAAGGCTAAACAGAGAAACCCTGTCTCAAAAAAAAAAAAAAATGAAGAAGAAAGAAAGAAAGAAAGAAAGAAAGAAAGAAAGAAAGGAAGGAAGGAAGGAAGGAAGGAAGGAAGGAAGGAAGGAAGGAAGGAGAGAAGAGAAAGAAAAGGCAGGGCAGCACAGGCTTGCCAACAGGCCTGGTGTAGGGAAGTAGTTCCTCAATCGTGGTTCCCTTTTCTCAGATAGCTCCAACTGGTATCAAGTTGGTAAAACCAACCAGGACAAGGGTACATAGTCAAAAAAGAAAAACTGTATAATAATGGCCTGTGATATGTATAGTGTATCTGATAACTCTTATAAACTACTTAAGAAACTTAATAACATGGCCAGAGAAAACATAAAATAACAAAGGTATATTTTAACTACCAATAACTACTTCAAAACCCAAATAAACTAAGCTGTACACCATAGCTTTAAAATAACACAAGCCTAAAGATACCTTTTTCATTATGAACACAAAATTTGCCCATAACATACAATTTTTAAGTACAAAATTGTATTGCTGGAATAAAATAAAATCTAAATATGTAAAATAGAATGCAGCTTCCTGGCTAAGAAGACAGTATCAACAACATACCAGCATTTCCTCGATTAACGAAAACAGTTAATGTTATTCACACAGCCCTGATATTTGTTTTGATTTGTAGAGCTCAACAAAATAATTTTCCAGGATCTCTTTTTCATTACAAGCACCTGTGTACCTGTACGCACGTGTCGCAGGCGTGGGAGGTCCCACAGAGGCCAGAATCAGGTATTAGACACCTGGAGCTGAAGTGAGAGGTGGTTGAGAGCAGCCTGACACGGAGCTGCGAGCCAAACCTGGGTTCTTTCAAAGGCTGCAACAGCTTCCGCTGCTGAGCTGTCTCTCCAGCCTCAACAAGACTATTTTTAAGTTTTAAGGGAGAATATATTACGGGACTCACCAACACAATTTGGAAGCCGGCAACCATGGGACTCACACTACCAAACACGCTAAAGCCTAACCCAGAAGCAACCAGCTAAAATACAGTGCGGCATGTGAGTGTGGCCAAATGAGAGGCTGAAAGCAGACGGAAACAAACGTGGAGAATTAAGGCCTGATAAAGACGCACTGCGAGTCCACCCATGAACCATGAGCTATCACTCAAGTGATGTTAGTGGAGTCGGCACGCGTCGACAGCTACGTTCGAACGCCTGCACCGTGTGGGGCCAGGTTCTCAGAAGAGTGCAGCCGGCCCTACGGGCATCACAACACTCACACAGGAGACGGTGTAAACACTCTGATATTTGGGGTTTGGAAACAGCAATATATGTTGAAATCTAGGAAGTTTTAAAGTTCACCTAGAAAGCAAAGAGAAAAGTTAACCAATTTGGAAGCCGGAAAATAAAAACCAAGTCAATTAAAAAATGAACAGCCAAAGAGCCAGAGAGGTGTCTCAGGGATTAGAAGAAATGGCTGCTTTTTCAGAGGACCCAGTTTCAAAGAACAGCACTCACACTGAGCCTCACAGCTCCCTGCAACTCTAGTTCCAGGGTATCCAGTGCCCTCTTTCTGGTTTCTATGTGTGCTACGTGCAGGTGGTATACATACATGAAGACAAAACACATTACACATAAAAACTGAAAGATAAACAGCTAAGAAAAAAGTGCAGCACGTATTTGAAGGGCTAAGTGTTGCTATTCCCGAACTCTAGAGGCTAGCAGCAAATGGAAAGATTGCTGAAAGGGTGTCAATGTGTAATTCACTGAGGAGGAAATACGCAAATGGCCCAACCACTTACTGAAACAGCTAGTGAACACTGTAGCACCTGCTCAGGATGTTTCATCACCAACGTTACAAAAACTTTAAAAGATGGACAACATCCAGAGGAGAAGAGGGCATGAAAAATGAGTTGACATACAGTTGAACAAATGGTGAAGTTGCCCAAAGTTTTGAAAGCAATTAACCAAATGCACTAAAATGTTGTGTGTGCATAGCTTTACCATAGGCACTCTGCTCCTGAGGCTCTGTGCTGCTGAGATAATAGCAGGGTTAGGAAATGCTCTGTGTTTAAGGAAGGACTTAAGAGCCAGGCAGTGCTGGCACACACCGTTAGTCAAGAGGCAGAGGCAGAAGGATTTGTGAGTTTGAAGTCAGCCTGGTCTACAGAGTGAGTTCCAGGACAGCCAGAGCTACACATAGAAACACTACATGAAAGAGAGCAAGGGGAAAGGAGGGGGAGACACACACACACACACACACACACACACACACACAGAGAGAGAGAGAGAGGAGACTAATGATAAGTAGTCTAGTCTGAGATTAAATGTCTGTCAGTATTTGTGGGTTAGAAAGACAGAGGCACATTTAAGACAACATGCTTGTCATGTGAAGATATGTAAAGAACTGGAGAAGATGGAGTAGGGATAGATTTGGTCAAAATACATTGTATACATGTATGAGATTCTCAAAAAATCAAAAACTAACTTTTAAAAGACTATGGAAAGGTTACTGCTGTGATGACTATCACTTTCTGGAAGGTGAAGAATAGGTGAAGAAACTTATGTCTAGGCTGACACTAGACCTCATTTAAGAAAATAATTCTGAGTGTTTACAACTACACATACTATTTGTGAATTAATTCCCTGAAACTGAGAAGCACACAAAACTCCTCAGAGCATTTTTAAGAAGGTGGTAGAGTACAGGAATGAGCAAAGTCAAGTATCATGTCTTACCATGTTTCTCTCTCTATTTCAAAAACAGTAATAAATGCAGCCTGGTGGTTATAAGAATGTCAGTGGCATACACGAATATCAACAAGCAAGATTTATAAGTTGCACTATTATGTGTATAAGAGTAAATGGTCGAAAGATATGGAGCAAAAGAACTGAAAATGACGAGTATCAATGACAAACCACAGCTCAGCAAGGAATAACTTCACTGTCCAAAGACAGGGCTCTCCTCATGTGCTAAAGAAGATAGAACATACCTTAGAAAGTGGCTTCCTCTGCTGGCAATTGATTCCGCCAACATAGACCATGTTGGGCATCACAGGTCTGGGAAAGTCCAGCACAAAGTCAGTGCGAAACAACCAAATGGACACTGAGCTAAAGAGGTCTCTCATAGTCACTGGGGTCTGGAGAACTTCAGAGGCAATGTCTGTAGCAGTTTTGAAGAAATAGGGGCAAAATGCACGCTCCTTCATGTGGGAGAGATAGTTCCACACTCTCTCCTTGAAAGTCATGGTGTCTGTGAATTTTAAGAAAAATCTTGGAACATAAGAAGGGGGACTGGGGCACTGGGCACCATCTTCAAGGTAGTGGCAAAATATTCCCCCGCTGAAGACCACAGATGGGAGTGAAAAGTACTTGGCAACAGTTAAGCCACACACATCGAAAGGATCCAGAAACACAGCATCAAAAGCACTCTGCTTCAAGTACTCCACTAACTCCTTGTCGTTAAACAAACTCCTACAGTGTGAAAATAATAAGTCAAAGAAACCTTTGCCTGAATTCTTTAGTAGAGAAAACATTCCTACTTCTTGAGTTTTCCATTGAGTTTGAGCAAAAAAATTGAAGTGGTGGTTCAAATCTTCCAGAGTGTAAGAAACAGAGTAAGTTTTCACTGTAAAATTCAGTGATTTTCCCAGTTGCCAGCTCACCTCTGGTTTGACTACCACCACCTCGTGCCCTCTGTGGCTGAGTTTCTCCACAATCGTCTGCATGGTGAACCAGTGGCTCCCGTCCATGGGCATGACCAAGAGCCTGCCTGCCTGGGCAAAGCCAGAGGCCAACAGCAGACACACACACAGAGGAAGGGAGGCTGGAAGCTCTGCAGGGGCCATGGGGGAAGCTCAGCCCAGGGCAATCCAGGAGCTTCAACTCAGTGCTCTTCTAATTTTGAGAAGAGGAGAACTGTGGGAGCTAGGATACCTCCCCCACCCCCAGAGGAGGATGTGTACTCACATTCATTAAGAAAGTACACTCGCTGACAGTGACTAACTTTTGAGAACAATAACAATGGAGCCATTATTGAGATGCCTATTTGTTTTCCAGATAAGAAGAGACTATGATCTTTCTCTTGGGCAGAATCAGACAATGTGAGTTTAGAAGTAGTTATGAAGAAATATACTTGACCTTACGGAGTCCAAAAGTTTTCACAAGAGGAAGCAAGTGTCAAAGAATATTATATTTCTATAATGGGTATCAGAGAAAAATCTGGACACTTTCTTTCAACTACTAGACTGTCCCAAAGGGACTTTCTGCCTCTGCTTTCAAGGCCTATAGTGAGGGTCCAGGAGTCTCGCCCCGCTGACAGACAGTGAAAGAACTCTGCCAGATGAGCCATGCTGCTGGTCTTGGGGCTTGTGCAGTAGGATTCTTGTTCCACAACTCCCTAAATGCAACGATGTTGTGGACCACTCCAGGGATTTGACGTCATATGACTGCCATCTCTGTCTCATTTCCCCTTCTTACGTCCAATGCACTGGACAATCACATGTTCCAAAGAGATGGTGAGAGCGCTTCTGTGGGTTTCACCAAAGGATCCATGTAATGTCTCCCACTCCCTTGAGCACTCCTTGCAGTGAGGGCGTATGATTTCCTTGTGTATTCACCCTATTTGCACACTACCCTCACTTTGGCTTCTTCTGGGATGAACAAAAAGAGTTTTTATTTAGACTCAGTTGAGTTATGCAGGTTTTCTATATGCTTTCATGGGTAGCCCAGTAGCATATGTCAGGTAATACACTGAAGCTCATCTAGCAAGAAGCATTACAGCCAGCCTGGGGTGTATTCCTTGTTAGTACAACAACATGGTTCCTTTTTTTCTTTTTTTTTTACCTCAAATGTCACTGTTAATAAATACAGATTTAGTCACCTATTTACCTTGGTGACTAGGGAACACTCAGGTGATCATCTTCAAAGACTTAATAGACCCTGTCTCAAAACAAAACCAAGTGAAAAAAAAAGTGGCTAGGATGAAATCTGTGTGATTCTGATATGGGAAGATTCAGGCTCCCACAGAAAAAATAAAAGAACAACTCTCCAGGACCTCATCTCAAAACCTTAACAATGGAAAACAAGCCCAGGAAGCCTGTGCGGGTCACAGAGCTTAATGAAGCTCAAATAAGAAAGAAAGAACAATTGTCTTTTTCAGATCATGCCACCCAACCCCTGTTCCCAAATCACAGCAATGACGATAAAGGAGAACATTTACCCTGAATATGGACTTGCTGGCAGAGAAATTAGCTGGCATTCATAATACAAAGCCCTTAGTGTTTTCAGAAAACTAGGACTGCTCTAAAGATATTTCTGGGCGGTTGGGGAGTCACTAGGAGAAAGGACTGGTCACGCCACATGGGGAGAAGCAGAATCAACGAAAGGAAACTAAGGTCATCCTTAGCTGTACAGGGATCACCATGGCACCTTAGTTTCCCTGTTGGCTCTGGACCGTGTCCAGAGATAACAGCTAAATCCTAGCCCAGCTACAAAAGCAGCCAGGTTAACTTTCATAGGCATGGGAAGACATCCGAGCCAGCAGCATTTATTACACTTCCGTGTTCCTAACTCATCCCAGAGTAGAGTCCGACTTCCCCGGAGAGACAAGGAGCTGCATTCCTGTCCCCTTAAGAGTGTTGGGGCTGGCTGTGGTGGCTCTTCACAATTGGCAGCTTGATCGTATCTTGAACCATCTAAAAACTAAGCTGCTGGCCATACCTGTAAGGGCTTTTCTTGATCAGGTTTAGAATGGGAAGAATGATCCACCTTGAATGAGATAGCACCTTCTAGTGGTAGGTAAAAGGAGTTCCAAGGGAAATATTTTTCTTTTTGTCTCATTGCCTTTATGTCCCACTGAGCACTTATTTATCCTGTTGCTGCCACTTCTACTACCTTCCTTTCCTTCTATCAGAGCTCTGATTCGCTGGGCTTCCATCAGGGACTGAAGGCCAGTGGCTCACCAGGGATCCTCTAGGATTTCAATGGAACTCTAAGACTTTTTAGGTGTACAGCCTCGTGGATTGAGCGTAACCAAGTTCTCAGGCGCTCCAGTGTGAAGCCATGATTAGACTGCCTGGACTCTAGCCATCACAATGCCTGGGCGGCAGCTGCGCCTGATAACATACCCCAGCAGGTACGCATTCATCAGCAAAATCCACCAGCCGCACTACCCAAGCATAAGCAAAGGCAGCAAGCACCTTAGTCAACTAGGAAGCTCCCAAGAAACTCTCGTACTCAGGCCCTTCCAGAGTTACAGGCTGGAATAAATGGCTATGGTCTGTTCCTACCCAAGGATACGTGTCAAGAAGAGTTCAAAGCATAAGTTTGACATTTCAACACAAAGATATTATCAATATTATAAAGAATCAAGGACCAGTGACATACTTAAGAGAAATTAATAAAGTTGTAATGGGGGGCACTAGAAAAATTGAGATCCATGTAATTACTGAGAAAGAGTTTAGAATATGAGTCATAAAAATGTTCAATGAACTATCAGAATATAGGAAGTAAATTTTAATGACCATAAGCAAAAACACAGAAGTTGAACAACAGACAATAAAAAGTCAGATAAAGGCAAACTGAAAAAGCACAAAGCTTCAAGAGCAGATTCGACCAAGCAGAAGGATCAGCAAACTGGACAGAGTAATTGGAGCTGTCCACACACAGAGCAAAAGGGAGGAGGCAACTCTACAGGAGAGACAGGACACCCCCAAGAGGCCAGGCTGGCATATATATGAAGGCAGTTAAAGAAAGAAAAGGAAACATGAAACTGATTTTCACCTGAAACGAATACACCAAGACACACTCTGAGCTACTAAAAAATTGAAGATAGTGAACAATCCTGAGAACGATAAGGGGTAATGTAGTGGTTTGAATAAGAATAGTGCCCCTAGGCTCATGTATTTGATTGCTTCATCAACAGGAAGTAGCACTATTTGAGAAGGATTAGAGGTGTGCCCTTGTTGAGGGCAGTATGTCACTAGAGGTGGTTTTTGAGGTTTTTAAAAAGCCCTGCTAGGCCCAGTCTCCCTCTCTTTGTCTCTCTCTGTCTCTGTCTCTGTCTCTCTCTCTCTCTCAGGATGTAGCTCACAACTATTCCTTCAACACCCTGCCTGCCATGTCTGCTTGCCATGCCCCTCTGCCACGGTGATAATGGACTCCTGAAACTATAAGAGTTGCCTTGGTCATGGTACCTCTTCACAGCAATAGAACGGTGACTAGGACAGATAGGAAACAAACCACATACAGAAGAATACGAATGCTACTCATTGGCAGCAGGGGTCTCAGGACATTTCCCACAGCCCGGAAGAAAAGAGAATGATGTATTCAAGGTGTTGCAAGGTGTGTGAAGAGGCAGGGGATACTAGTCAAAAATATTTTATTAGCAAATTTGTTTTTTGAAAGTGAGTGAGAGGCAAGGTGTACTCGCATAAGCCTGTAACTCCAGCACTCAAATTTTAGCTCAACCTAGGCTACAAAGATCTGGTTTGAAGAACAAAACCAAACCAAAACAATGAATGATGAAGAAGAAAACTGACATAAACAAATGCTTAGCAAATTCACCACCAGAGCTAATAGACAGGCCTTAATTTCCTTTAACCTGAGAAGGCCACCAACTGATTACAACACATCACAAATCCTAACGGCAAAAGCAAAAATGTCTGCCTTCACAACACTCTAGACCTGTCAAGATGGAGTGGACAGCAGATTTACTCCTCCTATTAGGGATAAACTATGAAGCTATGAATAATATGTGCCTACAATATACTGGAAATTAAACACATCACAAAATACTCAAATTCAGATCTAAAACATGAAGTGTGATATGGGTTAAACCAGTCAAAACTAAATGTCCCATGGAAGCCTTGGAGTACTCTTTCATAGACGTGCAACAAACGTTAGCAAATTTCACAGTACGCTACTGCATAAAACTGCCAAAGCAAAACAAAGGCAGTAAAAAATGGAGCAATGAAGGTTTTGCCTCCACAATTAGAAACCAACAAACAGGATGGCAGTAACATTGTACCTGTCCAGAATTGCCTTGGGGACCATTGTGGGCTGTGCCGCACCTGAGCTTGCGGTCTTGGGTGCTATGAAAAAGCAGGCTGAGCAAGCCATGAGGAGCAAAGCTGTAAGTAGTACCCTTCCATGGTCTCTGCATCCGCTCCTGCCTCCAGGTTTCTGTCTTGAGTTCCTGCCCTGACTTCCTTGATGAGGTAAACTGAGATAAACTCTTTCCTTCTCAGATTGCTTTTGGTTGTAGTGTTTTATCGCAGGAATAGAGACAGTATCTATATCACAAACATGAAATTTTTTCCCTAAGATCTCAAAAAACAATGCTCATTCTTCCCATTTTTTTTTTGGGCAATATAATATTAGAAGCTGTTGTCAAATATACCAGGCAAGAGAAAGAAGTACAGCATCCACATAGAAATGGTCAGTGTTTGTTGACTTCGTAATGTAGAAATCCCCACAGAGTCACCACAGAAAAGAAAACATGATAGAACCAGTGAATAATGACAATGCAGTAACAATGCACAACACTACGTCACTAACTATGAGTAGTATCTCTTCACACTACCTACCAATTACATGAAAAAAAAAATTTCACAGAAAATTCCATTTATAGTAATTACCCTTCAAAGAAGATACTTAGTAATAATTTTAACCAAAGAAACAAAAGGTCTACACATTTAAAATTATAAAACAGTAAGAAAGCTTGAAGGGGATATAAAGATGAAAACAAAAAGAGATAGCCTGTGTTTTGGATTAGATGAATTGATGCTCTTATAGTGTCCATAATACTCAAGTGGTCTACAGACTCAGTGTGTCGCCTCTAAACACACCAGTGGCTTTCTTCACAGAAACAAAA